CTCACCACTTCCATAAAGAGTATGTTCTGAATTGCTCAGAGTGGAGACAAAGCAATGGTTTATAATAATTGTTATTTTATAGATGGGAACACTAAGACACAGAGAAGAATTTATTGCTTCCAACATTACCTATTATTAGAACTATGACAGGAGCCATAACTTAGTGAGTCCCACCAAGCAGCTGCCCACCTCCTCCATAATAATTTGTCTTTAGTAGGATTTATGTGTCAATACCAAGCAGCTGGGCTTCCTGTTGTCTCTTCATGATCTGACATCAAATTAAAGGGGACCCAAGTGCCACACAAAGACAGAACAGAAGGCAGTGGTACCAGCAAACGAACTGATTTCAACAGAGCTGAACTATTTCCCTTTATGTGAATGCAGTGTGGAAGTAAGGCCAGAATTGGTGCCAGAGTGAGTAGGTGACCAGGGGAGTCTTCCCAGCAGAGAGCATGGGGAAGGAGAGGACCAAAAGAAATTTCCCAGAGAGCAAAACCAGAATGTCTGAATGCGGCTTCAATCTGAAACCTCTTCACATTCCTGCTGCTCGTGCAGATAGGCAGAAAAACCCTTGGGACCCATATTTGCAGAGATGTATAGTCTCAAATTCATTGCAAATATAATTTATACTTCCTTACATGGAATACAGTCTTAGCATAAATCAGGCTCCTTTGCACCAATCCCTCATTAAAAGCCAGTTAATTTGTTATCTCTAATGCATTTTCTTTGATTCTTGGTGCTGTACTAACTAAATATTGCTAGAGGTCTGACTAGAATATCAGAGAGCTTAAACAATTCATTAGCTCCTCTTGTATTTTGCCCAGCAAAATATAATAGGTCCCTGTTCTACTTTCTGTCAGCTCCATCTGTTAATGTTTATTCTCAATCTTTCGCTTATAACATTTTCTTCTCCTTTTTGCACGTATTTCTCATCTACTTTCATTCTGTTCTTAATAACAACAACCTGCAGGCAAAATACTAATTCTAGTTGTCTTACTGCATCTGATATTTTCCTTTCTCTTTGACTGAGACTTGCAAATTATGAGAGTTTATTTTGTTAGCAGAATTAGGCAAATATCTCTATCACAGAATAATATGGGGTTGGAAGGGACTCCTGGAGTCCACCTGGGCCAGAGCAGGTCCCCCCAGAGCAGGTCCCACAGGAACGTGTTCAGGCGGGGTTTGAATGTCTCCAGAGAAGGAGACTCCACCCCCTCCCTGGGCAGCCTCTGCCAGGGCTCTGCCACCCTCACAGGAAAGAAGTTCCTCCTCAGGTTTAGGTGGAACTTCTTCTGTTCAAGTTTGTGCCCGTTTCCTCTTGTCCTGTCCCTGGGCATCACTGAAAAAAGACTGACTCCGTCCTCTTGACACCCACCCTTTAAGTATTTATAGGTGTTGATCAGATCCCCCCTCAGCCTTCTCTTCTCCAGACTAAACAGACCCAAGTCCCTCAGCCTTTCCTCGTAAGAGGGATGTTCTAGTCCCCCTATCATCTTCGTAGGCCTTGCTGCACCCTCTCCAACAGTTCCCTGTTCTCCTTGAACTGGGGAGCCCAGAACTGGACACAGTTCCCTGGCTTAGGGATTTAAGAGAGATCAGTTTATGCCATTTTATTCATGACTTGTACATGTCCTTGTAGTATTGAGAAATGGGACAATCCTGCAGCAAGTGAAGGAAACCACAATTCAGGATTGGACGTTGGCCACATTGCATTATTCTGCTGTACTATCAAAAGGCTGAAAATTCAGGTGTTTTGACCTCAGAGCTTCTTGAATGGGGAATCTTGCAGTATTTCTTACTTCACTTTTTCCTTTTTGTGACCAGTATAAGGGAAGTGACTGAATATAATCTAAAGGAGCCAGTCAGGGATTTATTACTCAACCTGCCTCAACAGAAATGGGCTAAAAACAGCCTCAGGTGCTCCTGAAATAAGTACTCCTTGTTGTGAGATAAGAATAATCATGGCATAATTGAGCTAACTGGATTTTCTGTAGCATCACTCATGTATGCTAGCTTGGATGAACACAGTGACTGCAGAGTTCTTTTCAATTTTGGCCTCCTCCAAGAAATGTCTCTTTTTCCAAAGAATATTACAAAGCTATATCCTTCAAGCCAAGAAGGTCTAGTCAATATATTGCTTTGGCTGCTGCTTCTTTCCTCCATCTCTTCAGATATCAGCACATTTTACCCTAAATCAGTTTAGCACTAGATCTTTTATACTTTATGGTGCTGCTGGAACAGAAGCGTAGCTGCTAGTAGGTAAACATTCAGGAATTCCTAGCAATCCTCAAAAAGAGCAAGCTTTTGGAAAGCTTCTGTGACTTACCTTCGGAGGTCAGAAAGAAAAAAACAACAACAACAAAAAAAAAGAAAAAAGGAAACGGAAACAAAACCCATTAGAATTATAGCTCAGAAACAGCAGCTGTCTAGGAAGATTTCCTTGCTTAGCCCAGTTACACAGCTGTTTTGACTGGTTGCAAAAGTATTTTGCTCTTCCTATTTTATGATCCCTTACTCTGATTAAGGGAGCAGAACTCTTGGAATGGAGATTCTCCTGAAAATCCTGGGAATTCCACATTTGAAATGGCAGTTCTGGCACATGTTCCAAGCAGTAAGACACATTGCAAGCTGCTTCTTGGAAAGCAAACACACAAGGAAGCAGGCTTCTTTACAAATCCAGAAAAAATTTGGGCAAGAAGAATAAAAATTAAATGGGCACAAAGAATGCAAATTCCAATTCAGTTTTTCTGAGTAGACATCTACACATCATAATCCAAACAACTTTCTTTCCAACATCCAGCTCTGATAGCGAGAGTGTAACACAGATTGCCAAAACCCTCCCAACATCTTGGACAAATGTTCTGATCAGGAGCCATCAAAGCTTTTCCCAGCTACACTTTTCACTGCCCAAGCTGGTAAGTTTAGAATGGAATCAGGAATTCCTGCCCAGGATTCTCTTCCACCTGTGGATCCTCTGGCAAATTGTATCTCATTAGCAGAAATACAAGTTTTCATTCACACTCTAAGCAAAAGTTGAATGAGAACTACCTATTTATTCACATTTAAATAAATACAATGGGTTTTCAGATGAGATATCAAGAAGTCTGCCTCTAGGTTTGACTGTTTCCATGAGTAACAGCTATATTGTTATATAATAAGAGTTAATACTCACTTCATACTTTCTAAATAGGAACGTTCTTGAATATACGCCACAAACACATGGTCACTACCCTTTTAATGCTTCGCTTGTTATTAGCCTTACAATGCAACTGAAATAGATCAGCTGCTTAATTTAGGAGGATGTTTTCTACAAGTATCTTTTATCCAACCTGGGATAAAGCATTGAAACAAGTTTAAAAATACAGCATTTGTTATTAAACATGAGAAACTACAGAAGCAGAACTGTTACCACTCTTAACTGATCTTATCTTGATGCTTCAGGGATCAGAAGGGAATTGTATGCAACTCTCATATTACTAGATGGATCGTTCTAATGGGCCTTAATTTTCCCAGCATGTTTCTGCAGTTTAAGTAGTACAGAGACATTTTTCAGTTGTCCCCATTTAAGTTGACACAGGTTTGCTCTATAGTGGAACTTATTCAACTATCTCACTCATCTCTGACTTGGTAAGACAAGGGTGTAAGTTAATTCTGAAGCACCCTCTATCTAGTAAGAGATCATATGCAGACAGCCAATAAGGCTGGAATTATGCTCCTCAGGCTTTAGTTTCTGCACGTCTGCAGTCACGCAGGGCAGATCACTCAGTGCTTCAGCTTCTCTAAAATGTAATTATCTTCATAAAACATGTCAAGCTCCTCCAGTGAAAGGGGCTTCTTCGATTTGATTTGTTTGTTGACTATCACAGTGCTAAGAGAAGCCAAAAGAGATCAACTTTCTGTTTTATCCAAGCGGTGCATAGCAAATAAAAGGTGATAGACAAGGAAGGTCATGACCATTTCAGCTGGATGGTAACTAAAACACTAAGAAATTGAATCCCTGGGCCAGCATCCTGTAGATCTGTATCAGACCCAGGAGTTAGCTCTGCAATTCTCCTCTAGTGCAGGGCTCCAGCCGCAATCCCATTCCCCTTTGCAAATACAGCTTTCAGTAAAGCAAAATATTTCTGCATATACAGGTTTGAAAAAGCAGCAAGAGACACTTAAATAGCATAGAACTGAGCTAAAGCAAGGGAGATCCACTAAAATCTCTCCCATATCCCTGTGCCTATTGCACAAAATGTGTTTCGACAGCTCTAACTGTAGATACCACCAGTCATAGGGACAAACGCTCTTCTCTACACTTCAGCCCATTTCACTGTGAACATCTCAAAAGAATTAGCCTGCCCTGGTAAGCAACAGAATTTCCTCTGTTATCACTCCACTATCTCAGTGAACAACACAAAGTGCTATATCCAATTTAAATTTACCAACTGTTACCTTTTTGCAGCCTCACAATAGACTATTCAAGAAGATACTGAAAGTAACTTTGAAACTGGCCAAGTTGCAGGGAGCCACCTGTTTGCTTATTTAGAATCACAAAATAATTTAGGCTGAAAGAGGTCTCTGAAGGTCATCTAATACAACTCCTTACTCAAAGCAAGACTAACTTGAGAAGTAAATCAGGGTGCTGGAGGCCTTTACTGGCTGAGTTTTAAAATCTGTAAGGATGGAAATTCTCTGGGCATCTGTTCAGTATTCAAGCAAGAATCAATGAATGACACTTCCAAAATCCTCAAACACTTCCAGTGAAGGAGAGAAGCGAGTGCTATGATTACTGCAGTGTGGTGCTGAACAGACACTGATGGGCCAGTGAGAACATAAAGGCATGGTGGGAAGAAGCACACTACACAGCTTCACAAAACAGATTTCACTAACTGCCAGTGATATCGGTAGGGCAGCTACTGCAGTGCAGCATCCATTTCTGCTGCCCACAGGATGAGATTTGCAAAACCTTTTTTCCCCCAGTGACTTGGCTTTGTTTGTGTGTATCTGGTATGTAGGCGAGGAGTTCTGCACCTGCATGAAAGCCGTGGAATCCATGACCTTGGCTTGCCTCGCTGGCAACTTTCCCTCTGCCTCTTGGTGGTGGTAATCATTCTTTTCTTTAGTCTGTGGAAAGGCGTGAAGACTTCAGGAAAGGTAGAGCTAATATTATCCTTCTATCTCAACTACTTTCTTTGCCTCCTTTAAGAATTCTCCTAATTTTAGAAAGCAAGAAACTAAACTCACTGCTTCTGAGTGATCCCTGGGGACCAAACCATGTGAGAGGCCTTCATTTATATGTACAGTGGAAATACACAATCCAGATTGAACATTTATTTACAAGTTTTGCTTGTGTGATGTTCCAACTGGAAATTTTATTAGCATATTATTTTCAATTCACCATTAGTGGTCTTGTCAAGAAAATATTTTGAAAGACTTTGAATTGTCTTAAGTGTGCCTCCTATCCTTAACCAATTGTACTAACGTTTCAATGGTAGAAGATGTTTTGGTTTTATTACATAAAATGCCATGATAAGAGAAATATCTGATGAAACTAATTTGATATTCCTTAGAAAACACTTCAACAGAAATTCTAGGGTTGGATACATCTGAGGGCTTTTTGTACACTTTCATAAAAGCATCACCTAAGATCAGGCAACGACTGCACTTGTTCAGTAAACAAGTGTACAGCTAATCAGCAGCCTCACACACACTGGAATGTATAAGCACCCCGAGTCTTGTTTGTTAAAACTGTCTCCTACTGCTCTCTGTAAACATGCATATGTAAAGACTCATGGTAGATAGCAGCATTTCCCTATGAGACACCAGCTTCTCCACCAAACTGAATGGACAAACCCAAGAAAGTGCCTGCTGTATTTTTTCACACATTCTTCAATCTTCCATAACGGTTGATTAACCTTTGGGATCTCTGTTGTCTGCAGGTTGTTTGGATAACAGCCACTTTGCCTTACGTTGTATTATTTGTCTTGTTAATACATGGAATAACCCTGCCTGGCGCATACAATGGAATAAATGCATACCTGCACATAGATTTCAGAAGATTAAAAGAAGCCACCGTAAGTGTACTCTTCTGCTCTCATTCCTCTGTTATTATTAGATTGAAAATACTAGAGTTCATTTCTGAAATTATATAGCCACACTTGTGCTTTTGCATAAGCCCTAGTCCACTGTCCCAATGATAGTCTTAACTTTCCACCAGTCTCCATAACAGGACTATCTCAGCCTGAGCCCAAAGAGTTCTTACCACACAAAAAAAAACCTGCACGAGAGCAGATTCAGATGTGGCAGTCTCTTAAAAGCCCATGCTTTGACTGTGCACCCTGTAAACTGCAGTATCCTCTATACATTAAAAAGGAGTCGTGCAAAAATTTAGTTCTCAAAATGCTAAGAATTCCCTCAAGAAGAAAATTTTGCCTGTTGAATCGCTAGGTTAAACATTAACCTGGTAAACAAAAATCCCAGCCTATGAAAACCTTGCTAAATATATGAAGTCAGGAGGAACTCATCTAACTGTGTCCTTCAAATAAATGAGATTTTCAATAGTATGATGTTCTTATCTTACTATTGAATGTAGTGTGCATTTGCCTGTATCATTTAACCACTTTGCAAGACGTTCTCATTAAATATATACAAACCAACTCAATTTGTGGAGTATCTTAGAACTTATTATTACTTCATTCATTGTAAAGCAAGATCTACAAGTACAGTCACTAACTCATTAAATGGCCAGGATTTCAGCTCTATGAAGAACAATGATCTGGTGACTACAGATAGATCTTACCACTATGCTATACTAAAAACATCATGAATCATTTATAAGACAGTGGTATCTTTGTGGATGGGCCACAAGGCCATTCGAACACTTACAAAACTCAAAAGTGAGGACATAGTTCTAGTAGAAGGTAATAAACTGTCTTGAAAATTTGCAGCTTTCAGAGATGTTAGCAGTTTGTACATTTCCTGTCTTGATTTTTCCTGAATTAAGAAGGCAAACAAAGACCTCGAGTGTTAGCATACTGATGTACATACACTCCTAGCAAAACAATACTTCCTTGGTTTTCTAATACTAAATTTGGAATATGGCATTTCTTCAACAACAGAAGTTACCACCAGAATCCAAACTATCTCACTCCATTTCAGAATAGCGAAACTGAGCTTCAAATACATGACTTTCAGCCACCTTTGTCACCAAGGCAGTAGCCACCTCAGTAGTTCATGTTTATACGTATACATAAATACAAAAATGCAAGGATGAACAAAGGAGGTGCTTATACTTTTCTTATATATTTTAAGTGCTGTTTGGAAAAACAAAAACCGTCCTAAGGTCAACTCCATGTCTCTGGGGCTGTGCCAGCTTGCATCAGGTCAGGATCTGGGCCTCCATAATCATAGCTGCCTTCTGCTTTTAGAAGGATATTCTGTGCACTGCTCTTTCTTGGCTTAATATTTTTGCAGCTGCTGTTTGGATGACCCTGAAGTTAATTGTTTTGAAGACTAAATTTTTCAGACAACAACAAAAAAAGTTGCTCTAGAATAATAAGAGGTTAAAGATCATTTATAAGGAGAAGTTTCACAAACTGCTTTGTCATGTCAGCCTTTCTTCTGCTTGGAGACTGGGATACCCGCTGCTGCAATGGACTTCTGTGCTTAATCTTTGTCCTCAGGCTCTGAAGAATAGACTCCGGCTTCAGTTCTATGTCAATGCATCCCTGAATCTTTCAGATTTATTTTTTTATTCTCCCAAATGAAGAATCTAACAGAGAAACACTGTAAGTCACAAACAGTAATGACCTACAGAGTGCTCTGCCAATGCTCTTCTAAAAGACCTTAGAGCATCTTGATTCGTGTCAAGGTCTGCCTCATTTTATCGGCCCACATACTGCACAGCCCTGAGCAAGCCCCCAGACACCTCATTTTCAGGCATATTGAATCCACAAAGGGTATCTTTATAAAAAGGAGAGAAAGATATTCACCTGAGAACCTCTTAACTAGACCAATGCCTATGTTCCCTGCTGAAAGTCCATGAGCTACAAAGCCATGATGCTTATCTCCACTGCACAAATGGATATATTAAAAATCTGTGCAAAACAGCAGCTACATTTCTGTTCTGGCAAAGGAATCTGCATTAAACACAGAGTTAAATCAGACATGAGGAGACGCTCGTGCTTTAACACACCTTAACAAGTTTCTTGAAGATTATAAAATCTGGGGGTGCACCCAGTGTTTCCTCTCCACACAGCACAGTAATTCTTTAAATCCATGTACAAAAGAAAGAATAAGCTCAAAAGTTATAAGAGCATAAACAACCATGAAGAAAGCTGGAAATATTGATGACTGCATCCTATAAAATATTTTTTTTTCATTTTTAATGCATATAAAAAAAATATCCTACCATAAAAGTATATTATACTGTGCATCAATCAGAAGCCATTCAGCTGAAGTGAACAGAGAACTGCAGAAGAACCAGCCCCACCCTCTATTTCATGTTCTGCTTTGTTATAACAAAGGGAATGTTTTGCATTTAATCTTAGTTCTAAAGGAATTTCTGGTTTCTGCTCTTTTTTTCCTTTCACCTTGATCTTCTCAATTTGTTTCCTAATCAGCTACTATGAGCCAAAATTCTTACTCAACAGATACTTAAGCATATGCAGAACTCCTTTGGCAGGCAGCAGGTGCTAACCTCTTATTTGAATCAATAGAACTTAAGCAGATGCTTAACAGTTATTGAATTGTACGAAAGGGGAAGTATCATGAGTACCGCTCCACTGGCAAGACACAAAAGAGCTTGAAAACTGCTAAAAACAAGTGCCTTGTGGTGGCAGCCTGTACATTTAGTTATAGTTTTAGCAAAACTTTTAAAAAAAAAAATGTCAGGAACTTCATTAACAACACAAGTTGTGAGAAGTTTTAAAAAACTAGAATAATTATAGGAGGCTTTGCATCCCTCCCTCTGCACTCTTACCCACATAAACACTCCTCAGAGAGTACAACTCTATTTGATCTCAAACTTTGTGTAGAAATAGAGCACTAAGAAATAATGAGATATATAAAAGGAACGAGCAAGGAATTAATTTTACAGGATTGTTTTGCTATTCAGTAAAAGAAAACCATGACATCTAAAAGCCCTATACGAACTGAAATTTGGGAAAAATCATACCCACCCATCCACTGGTTTGTGATAAACGCATCATACCTTGCTGCTCTTACTATCTTTCAAGTACTTAACTCTCAACAGTTCATAACATTAAGTTTCTATACAAATCCAGAGTTCAATTAATGGTTCAGAGTCTTCAGCAGGCAGTAGTTGAAAGTATCTAAGTTGTGAAAGAGATAGATCACTAGTGTCGATGCGTTCATATATCATGTTGGGATGGGATAAGGCGCTTGCTCTCTTTCTCCTGGGCCAAATGTGAAAGCTTAGCATTAAGATCCCAATGCAGATGGAGCTCAGAAGCTGCCTAGGTCTGTCAGAAAACTAAATCTGAATAGACACATTGGATCTGATTCTGTAGAGATGAAATCCAGCGCTTTTTGTAGTCTTGAGCACTTGGCCGATTGGTAGAGATGAAATCCAGTGCTTTTTGTAGTCTTGAGCACTTGGCCGATTCAAACAAACAGTGAAGAGAAACTGAAAAATGTTGAGTTTTATTCACTCCATTATTCCTGTGGAAGATGCTTGTTTAAATATTTCTGTGTAACAACTGAATAAGTGAAACCTTCTGATTCAGGAGACCAGTGCTGTGATATTGCTCCTGAATGCAGTCTGCACATCTTGAGTGGATGTTGGGCTCCAGGGTCACTTTAGAAAACATTAGAGCATTAAAAACATGTATTCCCTGGTGGACAATTCTTAAAATGACCAAGCTGCATCTAAACTGAAATTTAGTGACTATGGCAGGAATAACTCCATCTCCAACTAAGTGGGAAAGGCGACAGCTAACCTGCATGGCTCTGTTCACAGCATGTCACTTGTGCTTCAGCTTCTGAAACAAGAAAGCATTGTATTAAGTGTGCTAACAGTCCTGTGAAGAAAGCTCTCTTGTGGGAAAGAAAATGTCCTGTAACTGTAACCCATTAACTATTTTTAGTTTTCTGGTTGTACATTCCAAACTAACTTGGAACAAGAACTATTGAAAGTGTATTTGTGTCACCCAGGAGAAAAATCATGTCATGGTTTCGTTCCTCAGCAGGAGCTCAGCGGTCTAACCCAAGCTGCACACCCAGGGCGGTAGCAGGGTGCCTGCAGCTGAGCACTTCCCCCCAGCTTCAGCCCTTACCATTTTGGGTTAAGCCGTCCCAGACCATGACTCTGCTCCATGTGGCATCTCCTGGGGGCTGAGAAGCACTAACTCTCCCATAAACGTGAACGCTGATCGTTTTTCAAAAACCAGTTTTCTTATACACTCTTGCATTTCCCTGATGTGTCTTTTGGAGTGAGCTGACGCAGACAATGTTGGTGTCATTATGCAGGTATGGATTGATGCAGCTACTCAGATATTTTACTCCTTAGGAGCCGGGTTTGGTGTTTTAATTGCGTTTGCCAGTTACAATAAGTTTGACAACAACTGTTACAGGTAAGACAGCCTATTCTTTCATTACTGCTTCAGAATGGCACTGTATAACTGCAGCAGGGCTAAGTACTAAGCTATCATATTGTCTTCAGTCATTTATTAATGATGGTCAGTCTTGTGTGGACGTAGCAACCGACCCAAGTCTTGAAACACTGACTTCCTTACTGAAATTTTAGCAACAGGAACCTGCCAAGATACCTGCTATACAGCAAAACAGAATGGGATTAGATTTGGACTTTAGACAGCTGTGTAAACTGTGCTTGTATTTGCCTTTCAAAAGTACCATTAAGAGCAACAGTGAACAGAGGATGAAATCTTATTGGTCCAGAAACTAAAAGCAGAAGGATTCCAGTTTCCAGAAGTGTTTCTGTGCTTTGGGATTGTATTTCTGATATTTTATGTTGAGCTCTAATTTAGGATATGCACTTTAAATCAAGTCAGTTTGTAAGTGTTTTGCTGAATCGCCACCATGGAAATTCAACCAGAACTCCTCTGCACTTTCTGAGAACTTCCAACATTTAGAATTTTTATTAACATTCCATTTTGGAATGAAAACAAACATCACTTTCAAATTTCCCATGAAATACAAATTCAGAAATTACATGTATGTATTATAAATACATTGTGAACTGAAGGATGGCAAAAACGTTAAAGTGAAAAGGTACAAGAAAATACATAGATTTGAAGTGCCTTAAACAGACTAAAAGCTGAAATTGTGGAATAGCTCTCTGAAGTCAGTGGAAGATTGTGCTTAACCCAGAGTGGCTTTAGTTTGTCAGCTGATTATTTGCAGTAGGTAATATTACCAGGTTTGAGAAGCCTTCAGTTAGAACACTAGCCATAGCAGTCTTCCAAAATAACATTTATCATCTTCTGCAAATAATTTTGCATTAATCTCATAGCAGCATTGTTTTGCTTCTGTATTCTGATCTTGCTCTGAAATGGAAAAAATCCACTTAAAACTAAGAAAACACCAGAAACTATATGCAAAATTGTATTATTTAGCTGCTAGTTTACTTTATTTGTTCAAAGTCGCTTCACAAGCCTTGTCCTCCCTGTAGGAATAATCTGTAGTTTCATTAAACACTGTGGTTTAGTTCTCACCATAAAATCAAGCTTCAATTCAGTAGCATTTCCAATGCTTACAAATATCCTTTTCTTTGGTCAAATAACTCCATAATGTGCTGACATATTTTGTTCAAAAGGCCGTCTTGAAACAGAAGACATTGAAAATAGTGCTGTTCCCAAATAAAGGCCCTGACCCAGCACTGTACTGTCCCATCTACACTTCAACACACCTTCCATGGGAGGAACAGTGTCAGTAACGTCACGCAGGGTAACAATACTGAAAATCAGGGCCAGAAAATATGAGAATCTGTACTGAAACTATGATCTGGTTTTACATGCAAAAGACTGAGAGCTAGCTCAGCTCAGTTCGTAAGGAGATAAGCATCACATAATCCAGTCATTGACTAAGCAAAAAGAAGCATTAGTCACTTGCATAAGAATGTTTGAGAGTTGTGGGAAACAAGAAATACTCTTGCCATCTTATCAGTGACAAATACCTAGCAATTTTCTTCTTTAATGACTGAAAAGAATTTGAGTTTATGGGTCCAATCTTGTCTCTCTTGATCCTGCAGCTTTCCCCCAAGAAAACATTATAAGAAATGCAGGACATAAATTCGTCAATGTTATCAAACTAAAGAAATGTAAGGAAGAGGATAAAGTTTGGTGTATGGCACCTATGGGTTTGGGTCGTGTAACTGATGAATGGAAATCGTATTTACTTTCTGCTCATTAAAGCACTGTTTGGGATTACTGATGTTCATAGAACCATGTCGTCTGTTCTAAAGGTCATATGCAGCAAAAGATTACATACAAGACACTGTGCAGATTAGACAGACATCTAAAGATGTGTGTTCTACTTATCTTCAGGCCAGGTTTGGTAATAACAATTATTAATACCCAGGAGAACTCATATATCTATCATAATACTATGGCAGATTGATTAAAAACACAACTTTGTACATTCATTACTGTATGATGCTCACTGTATAATATGTAACCTTTAAACTAGGTTATCTATTATATCAATCTGATAAACAACAGCTGTTTTATTTTGAGAAAAGCCTAGCCAACTTCCTAGATGAAGGGACCTCATTACAGATTAAGGATGATTAATTAGCATCCTTACAGATTAAGGATGGTTATCCAGTGCCGTCTGAATCTGTCTGCTAAAAATGCACTGCTGGAGTTGTTTGAAAGTACTCCTGGATACCTGCTCCCATGAACTGATGAAAAGGTTGAGAAGACCACTCAGGCCACTCTCCTGCTGTGCTTCAGCTCCCAGCTAGGATGATGACATCACTCTAATACCTTAACATTTAATATAGCTTTGCCGATTTGTTGGGTTTTTTTTTTACAGAACTCAGTTTAAAATCAAAATAGTTTAAAATCAAAATAGTAAACATTAAAAAAAAGTAAATAGTTTCCTAGCGCAGTATGCTGATAAGAGCTTTTGATCATCAAGATAATTGCATAATTAGCATTTTCACAAGAAACTTTCTATCGCTCTAAGACAATCCCCATCTAGTTCTTCAAGTGCTTTTTTTCACTGGGCTGTTCTTCTCTCCGTAAATATTTTCCTAGCGCAGTATGCTGATAAGAGGTTTTGATCATCAAGACAATTGCATAATTAGCATTTTCACAAGAAACTTTCTATCGCTCTAAGACAATCCCCATCTAGTTCTTCAAGTGCTTTTTTTCACTGGGCTGTTCTTCTCTCCTTCATTAGGGATGCTTTGCTGACTAGTACCATTAACTGCGTCACAAGCTTTATCTCAGGATTCGCAATTTTCTCCATATTGGGCTACATGGCTCACGAGCACAAAGTTAAAATTGAGGATGTAGCCACTGAAGGTAGGAAGTTAATGCTATATTAGTTTTATCACTTTTTGTCCACCATTTCTTTGCAAATGTGTTTGTACTTGTTTCAAATCAGTATTTGAAAATCTCATGGAAGTGACCTGAATTAAATTACTTGGAACCAAAACTCTGTGAGCACATGCCTTGCTGAGAAGTGAACTCTAAATGGTATCGATTCATCTCACCTCTACTGAATTGAGGTTTCCCAGCATCTCGCTCCTGGCAAGTTCAGCCCGTGCAACGAGCAGGCATTTATCACTCCACGGTACCTTGCCAAAGTGGGTTACTGGTTTGGATGGTTCTGATAGGCTTAGCTGTGGAGTCCTTTCACTGGTATCAGGTCACCCATCATTTCAGTTCCCATCTCTCTCATCACATCCAGGAGCTCTCCTGCGAAACACTGGAGTCCACATCCACACAGTTCCTTCTCTAATACATCCTTGAAAAATAGCTGGGAAGGCTGTGAATCCCATATAAGATTACTAGAAGTGTAAAAGAATGGGACAAGTATTTTTTTAATACATTATTAAAGTTTTTTTGATATATTTTTTGTATAATGCAAGTTTTAACAGCTACTCAGAGTGTGATGTGGACAAGACTCAGTCAGAATTTAGTGTTAAGAGTCAACTTGGTCAGAATTTATTAAAATGAACACTTTCGTGAAGCTAAGAAAAGTCATTTAGTAATACTTTTTTTGATCTATTTCTTTTCTATTTCAGGAGCTGGTTTAGTTTTCATCCTGTATCCAGAGGCAATTTCAACTCTTTCAGGATCTACATTTTGGGCCGTGGTATTCTTCATCATGCTCCTTACTCTTGGCATTGACAGTTCTGTGAGTATTTTTTTCTTCCAGCTTTCATATATTTCTTTTATATTCTGTAACTGGAGAGGTATCAATCTTAAACAGGGGATTTATTACTTTTCAAATAAACACTCTGTGCATTCTCTGAACCCGTTTTCACAGTCACAGCCAACATACCAATAGTATTACTCCTGGCAGTATATTTAAAGGCTCACAATACTAAAGAGGTTTAGGAAAAGATCAGGTCTTTTACAAGCCAGCAAATAATTACTCACAGCTGCTTTTTTATGACTTTACAGAGGGGCTATTCATAAACAATTATTACTATTTGAAGTATCACCCAACTGCTATGAACTATTACTACTAGGAACCTGTAATAAGGTTTTGGAACCCGACTTGCAAAGCACAAGCCACAGTAAGACATTGAGTGGTTTCTAGAAGAGATTTTTACATGTGCTGAAATTCATTAATCTGCTCAAGATAAACAATGTCTGAAGGCAGTCTGATTTTTTTCTACATGCAATGACACAGAATTTCCTGTAAATTTAGACACAATTTAAAAATCACACCAGAATTTTCATTTTACTACTATCTTACTGTAAAATGTCTAGTCTAACGAGTGTATTTGCTCTTTTCATAATGTGGCTTTTAGTGTACCATGATATTCAGGATCACAGAAACTTCAGCCCAGAAAATATCCTAAGGCCCCTAACAACTGTATACGGCTTTGCTCTTACCAAACAGGCATCAAGATATCCTGCTATATTTAGCTTAAAGGTTGATTAATTTCTGGGAAAAACAAGCAGGGTCTTTAAGGAATAGTGAACCATGAACAAGCATTTCTCATTTTTAGTAGGGTAGGGGTTTCTTACTATTCTAAAGCACAGAAGTCTATTCTGAAGTTCCAAATGTGCAGAACTGATCTAGGAATTTTCTTGTTGGAAATGGTAAAAACCAGTGTTTCCATTGCTTACAACTTCAGAAAAACTCATTCATTTTCAAGGAGAAGAAAGGGAAGGAATGAACTGACTCGGAGGAGAGCAAAACTAAGAAAAATAAGGTTGCAGCAGGAAGCTTTGATAATCATTGGCAGACAGCTGAATGAGATCTTGTGGAGCAAGGTCTGAGCTGTAAAGGTCAAATTCATTCAAATGTTTCCGAAGTGTTTGGATTTTTGGATTCCAGCTCACGTTCAATTAAGTTTGTCTATATACACCAAGATCGGGATCCTTATTCAAAAGTTTGAGGCAAGATTATATCTGGGTTTGCAGCTTGGCCGTTTTCCAACTGTAAGCAGACATGAAGGATGGAAAGCAAGGGTTTAGCACAGTGGGAGGGCATTAATGACCAGTAGGAACAGGGCAGAATTAAGAAGAAAATGCACGCTCAAAAACATTTAGATCCAATACAGTTAACTTTGCAACAGCAGTAAATTTAAGGCAATGTAAAGAAACATTTGAGTGACAAAGACATGGCTTTAGATTGCAGAACACACTTTTCCTACAAGTGGAGAAAGCTTTTTCTTGTGGAGCTGTTTAAAATAGTACAAGCCGATGAACTGTGGCCAAGTTTAGCTGCTTCTTTCTAAAAGAGGAGGGATCTGCTTGCTCATGTTTTGTTTAGGTTTTTTCATCATTTACCTAAGAAAACACAGGTCATGAAGTACTGTTTTATGGTGGTCTTCTCAACTCCCCCCCCCAAATTTGACTGATCAAATCCCTGATGGGAAAATTAAAAATTTGTAAATTTAAAAAAAAAAACAAAACACAAAAAAGTAAAATCATCAAATAACCCCAAAGCTAAAGAGGAAGAATTTTATATGATGAGTTTTACTCATGCATATAAACCTGCACTGGCACAGAAATACAGACATCTGTACAAAAATGGAGCTGTCAAAATGTTTAAGGAAAGAGAAATCTGACCTGCAAGTTTAAGCAAGCAACAATGAAAAGGATAGAAAATTGAACAAATGTTTGCAAATATTTTTGGAGTAGGTATCTAGCTCAACATAAGGAATTAACAAGGGGAATAAATCGCGACGTATTAGCGAAAAGAATCCAAGTTGCCTCCATTTTCAACTTCTCCAAGACCATTTAAGTGCCAACAAGGTAACGACTTCTGAGAACATCAAATACTAGCCCTTCTTAACTGTAGGACACTCCCTGATGACCCAGACACTAGGAAATACAAGCCTACACTCTGTTTTGGGACATTTTACTTGTGAATATTAGTTACCTTTCTTTAATAAAAAAAAAAGGGTCCACTGCCCCCATCAATTTTTCTCTAGATGTGAATCATTCAAATTCTAGAGAGAATTCTCTGCTACTGATTTCAACCAGAGAAGTTCTTACATCAAATTCTTACAGGAAGGAGACAGGCTATGGCAGCACCTGGTAACCAACTACTGTATTGCACCAAGCAGTCCAGGCCTTGCCATGATCTTTCAAGATGAGAAATAGCACAGGGGAGAGCTCTTCCTCTCCCTGGGGAGAAGGGGGTGGCGAAGGCGGGGGAAGGTGCTTTCATTGGTGGAAAGAAATTAAGATATTAAAATTCGTAACAACCTACATAACCTAACAATTTCAACAAAAACTTGGAAAGTAACTTTCCTATATTGTGAGACAATGGTCAATGTTCAGCATTAACTTCTAGAAGACAAAGTAAAATTCTTTCATGTTGTCAACAAAAAAAAAAAATTACATGTAGCTTCCTGCGTAGTGATTCTTCCAGGTCTGTACAGATTTCTGTCAAACTGGATTTGGTTAATCAATGGCTAAACTGAATCTTTGATCAATACATTTGTCCAGGGTGCTTGGTGTGTCTGTCTTTATATTAGAAACCTATTATGGAATTTGGTTACTTAAGCTGCCAGCTTTTTCCTCAAAGCATACTAAAATGTGTATTATTTTTCCCAAAGTACTGTCTACTTACTGTCCTGGTGAGTCAGCAAAGGGTCCACAGAGGATATGGCTATCGAGCCACCAACCATGGCATTGATGTCCAGTTCCCTGACTCAGTTCTCTACCATGAGAAAATAAATTATATCTCAGAATTCCAGTGATTTACAGCTGAAGTGTCAGAAATCCTACAGTGGTTGGGAATTAATTATATAAGCTGCTTTACATTCATCAGTGTGTGTTCAGAACAGTCAGCAGTGTTTAACCAGAGCTCTTGCCTTCTTTTCCTCAGATGGGTGGGATGGAGGCTGTCATCACCGGCTTGGCAGATGATTTCCAAATTCTGAAGCAACACAGAAAGCTCTTCACATTTGGTGTTTCTTTTGGCACTTTCCTACTTGCCCTTTTTTGCATCACCAATGTAAGTACAACAAAAGTTTCCATCAACAAGCTACCTTAAAAATGCAGTTAACCCCGTCAGATAGAAATATGAATGGGCTCAGGTGACTACTTTCGTTATAAATTTTAATTCTTAAATAACTTATGGTCAGAACATTACTTTTAGTGTTATCTACATGAAGCTCCTCTGCTTTTTTGCCCAAGATTATTAGCTATCAACCAAACCTACAAGTCTGTTCCTGAGAAGTGTCTGTGCTACTGTTGGTTTTGTTTGCATTTGTATGTTAGTGTTTTTTTAAAATCACATTAAATGGAGCTGTGTTGTGTGCTTATTCCTGTGTGAGGAACTAAGGATTTCATGTGACCAGGTCTTTAGTCACCTGCCTATTCTCATCTTGAAGCAAATAAGCAGCATTCACTTCTTGTAAAAGGAGTTTAGAATAATCATCTCCTCTCCCCAGTGTGTTTCTTAATGTTTCTTCTTGTACCTAGATCCTATCTCTTACTCAGAACCATAAAAAACAGATAGATAACTTACACTGAACATCTAGTAACCTGTATTTATCGCTGCAATCATCTGAATGATTTGCCTTATGTTCTATGTTGAAGAGAACTTCAAATTTTTTTGACAAATATCAAGAAGCCCTGTAAAAAAAGATGCCAAATTTCTCAGAAAACAACTGAAACTTGAGGTAATAGAGACACCAATCCTCTTTCCTTCCCTGGAAATGGTTTCCAGGTCTATTAAGATTACAGAAGCGGTGTGAGTTTATCAACACCAAAGCTCTCTTTACACTAAAAGAATACCCTGATATTTATAGTCTAGTTTCCTCTAAGTGGAAAACATCTGAGACACTAAAAATTTATGTTATCATCTAAAATACCAATCTTTTAACACCATGCTATCTCCATTATTACCGAGAGAACTGAACATGCTCCTTCTTTATTCAAACTTCAGCTGGAATAAAATTTCCTGAAGTACAAGATCCAAAGGAACTCGGTGGTTAAGAACCTGAACTGGTGCCAATGGGTGCAATTCCACCACCTTCGAGTGAGATAAAGCAGTTCAAGATATTAACTTAGCTCTAGTTTTCAAATAATGGCACCTGTTTAGACTTAAGTTCACCCCACCAGCTGGAACGCACAAAAATGCCCAGACTTGTCCAAATGTATTGCTTCACATAACTAAAGAACATTTCTAATGTGTACAAAATACAAAGAAACCCCCTTGTGATACCATCACATTAATCTGTTTGATTTGGTCCCCTGAAATGTTAAGGCTGTATTTTCAAAACATGTTTCTTACGAAACCACATTTGTCATTCACTTTTCTAAGTTTGATAGCAAAGGCATTCATTTAGAGCAGGTGTAGAACACAAACAAGAGGTCAGACTCAAATGTCATCCCATAAGCAACATCATCTTCCTAACACAACAACCAAAGTTCATTCAGTTTCCGGAAAAGTCCCCACAGAATTAAAAACCTAGACAAGGCCTAATGCTGTTCTCTCTAGTTTTGTAAATATGCACAGCTGTTTCAGAAAACTATCTTTTAGTAAGAAAAAAAGAAAACTGATAGATTGCAGATATTAAAAACATCTAGAGCGCTAAATAGTGCAAAGGCTATTTAAACCATTGGTAAAAAAGTTGAAAAATAATTCCTTTGTTCCTCCTCTATTGAACAGGCATAGTCAGACTCAGTTTGGTTGTAAAAAAAGATTTTAATGAAAATCTACTGCAACTGTGAACATTTCAGTTGTTTACATCTGGCAAAGAATGTCCTGAAATACATTATTCAGTTTCATTTCGAAACAAGTAAACACACTCCGGTCTTCCATTCCTCGTTGGCCCAAACTAGATGAAATGAGCAGTCATTTCTACAAATGCATACCACATTGTAAAATGAGGCCAAAAGTAGTCGAATTCCAGTGTTTGTTTTTTTTTTTTTAAAAAAAGTATGGGTGAAAAAGGGCTTTAGTAAATGCATTTGCATTTCTCAGTCACGAACTGAAGCTGAGCTGGTTTGCTCTCTCCACTGAGCAGAGGTTGGCTGATGCCTCAACAAAGGAAGGGAAGAGGGCAAAGCTGGGCTGGTACCAGACACCCCACATCCCACTGCTCCCGCTGCAGGAACTCTGGAAAACAGAGGCTCTGGGGAAAGGAGACATCAGCCTAAGAGCGCAGATTGACTGGCCACGGAATAACTGGTGTTAGGAACCAACCCAGGGATAAGGGCTTGTGTGGTTTCCACCACACACCGAGTGCCAGAGCCCTCGTTCATCACCTGCTGAGGCTTCTGTTTCCCAGGAGGAAACAGAACGTCGGTGAGAGGAGGAAGCCTCTTCAAGAGTTGCAACTCCTATTCCCCTATTTTCTATGCAAACCAGAACCCAGGTGTGCAGCGTCAGCTCCACATTCAAACACTTGGGTTAAAGATAATCTTTCAAGTAAAGCAGAATCCTGTTAATGAGATACTAAACTACCGAGCCGATTCTGTCTGTAACTTTTGTTTTGTCACATCTTTTAACTCCCCATCGCCAGGGTGGAATTTATGTGCTGACACTCCTGGACACGTTTGCAGCTGGGACTTCGATATTGTTTGCCGTTCTAATGGAGGCCATTGGAGTTTCCTGGTTTTACGGTAAGCACTTCATTTTGCACCTGCAAAATCTTTTTCTAAAATCCCAAGTGCTCGTGACAGGCTTTCCCACTGTTTCAAGGGAAAACAGCCCAGCCTTGTACACAGGAAACCATGACAGGCCAGGTTTCATACAGTGATTTTCCTCTGATTTATGAAGAGTGACAGGAATGCAGACGTTCACTGGGCCAAACTTGGAAACCCTGCAGAAAGCCAAAGAAAACTGCCTTGTGCCAGAGACTGCGGTGGGATGGGAATGTTGCTGCTTTGGCCAGTATTTTGCAGCTGTTAACACAGCTGGCGACTTGCAGTAGTAGACTCATACCTGGTAGTTTCAAAGCAAGTAGTGTAGCCTAAATTCAGGCTCACCTGCTCCTCCTCTCCATGATTCCCCCCAGGGCCAACCTCAAGCTCCCACCATTCAATAGAAATAAAGGTAGTTTGCCTTTAGAGAGTTATTATAATTCCTACAGTAGTCCCTTTTGTTTCAGACGATATTCTACTTAATTGTAAAACACTAGAAGTTTCAAATTTACCTTATTCATAGCATGGTATGGAATACCAAATCCTATATAGCAGAAATAATACTGTTTCCAGCACTTCATACTAATTTATGCCACAAGAAAGGTGTAGTAATTTGCTTTATAGAATCATAGAATCATAGAATAGTTTCGGTTGGAAGGGACCTTAAAATCATCTAGTTCCAACCCCCCTGCCATGGGCAGGCATATCCTCAATTATGGCAGGCTTTAGGAACATTCCACTGATCTCTGGCACTAGGCTGGGGTTACTGTGTGCCAACCAGAGTGAAGAACAGAACCCTGAAAAAAACACAGCTCACAATTTATGTCAGGTCTCAGAAGATGTGCCCAGCTTATTCAGTAACTTCCCTGGCCTTGTTTGGTCTTTAATATTTCTCTCCTCCCTGAAGTAACATAAATAAAAAGCAAGACACTTGATACACAAGTTTCTTAAGAAAGAAGAAAAACATTTTTTTTTTCTTTCCCACTGTGTAAAGGACCACAGTGAGGGCAAACAGCCACGTCCACTGCACTAAACCCCTACGGATAATCTTAACTGGGGAAAACTCAACAAATTGAAGTTGTGCTTTCCACCACAACACTGATTTTGACAGCACAGCAGGACACTGAGTCTGCCTGAGCTCTGTCTTTAGCCTGCAGGAACTTCACAGTCTCATGAAGTGTCTAATGATTGACTGATTTCACCAAGGGGTGAAATTGGGTTTTTACCCAATCCTCTGCTATAAGTGAGGAAGTCAAGTCTTACTACTCTCAAAGCAGTGAAACAAAAGGTTAAACTGAATATTGCTTGGAGTAGAAATACTTGAATTTTTTATTATATATAGCCTGCTAAACCTCTGGTTATATGAGAGAGTGTCTGGCATGCGAGTGTTCTCCCCATCCCTAATTCAGCATTTAATAGATGAGGTGTTTTCAAATATATGAAAACAATGTTTTAAACATTTCCCTTTTTCCCTACTCTGCCAACCTAGAGGAGAACTTTTTATGTTCTGCTACTGACCCAGAGTTCAAAATTTCCCCTATCCATACAGGAAGGTAGGGCAATTCATAGCCTGGAATTTATTTACTGAAAAAAGATGCCACCTCCAGGAGGGCACAAATTACAAAGTGCTGTTAAATCACCAAATCAAGCACAACAAAACAAGTCATAATTTACTCTGAACTAGGCATATCTTGCTAGAAAAACAGTGAAAGTGATTTTTACTTTCTTCTGGGGAAAGTGCTATCAGTTCTTTATCTTGTCACAGACAGGGTTAGTAAAATTCTAAGGACCTAAAAGGAATATCTCATTTTCTCCAAGTAAAGCAATAGGATTCTGCATCTTAGGTCTTATACAAGTCATCTCACTGCAACAGTCCAAGCTATCAGCTACATCTGAAATTGCTTGGTGCTAAGATTAATCAAGTTTCTTGAGCTCTTGTTTTTGTTTCGCATCTCCTCTTAATTTTCACATCATACTTTTTGCTTGGTCCCACCTCTTTTCATTATTACCTGGTTTCAATGCCATAGCAGCCTGCAAGTCTCCCATTGAAGTCTGTATTGAACTAGCTGCCCAGATTCACAGTGAGATTGTTCTTCCCCTGAAAGTCATCTTCATTTCTATTCAGAAACAGTGTTTATAGTTATTGTGTGATTCAGAAGGTTCTTAGACATTATCATTCTTACTGCCATTTACCTCCTTCAGTCACTTATTTATCTATCCATGCTGTGCCACCATATTCCTCTATTTGTTCTAGTCGAACAAATTCTCACTTGCAGTTAAAAACTGTTGATGAGGGAATGAGGTGAAAGAGGGGCATTCATGCATAAAGCTGTTCAATGTACTAAAGAACCAGTTTCTAGCTGTAACGTACTAATTCTATCACCCTGTATCAGCATGGAGCTAGCAGCTCATATGTTGTTCTGTCTCAAAATAGTGGAGGCACTGGATTTCACAGACAACTGTCTGTAATCCCTGGAAAAGAGCTGAATGCAGAAGAGGGACCATAGCTTTGCTTGGGAGCAGAGCCATAAAAATATTCTTCAGTTAGTAAGGACGAGTTATTATCTGCTGATATTAAAATAGGTTTTACTGCACTTTACAATAGCTAGGCTTTGTATGCTGTTCACAGATCACAAGGTTAGTCAAATTTTGTTTGTGGCACCTTCTGTCCTTCATCATCCTTTCCTTTCTCCCTCCTGCCCCCCCATAACCAGGAAAATATCTACTCATCTGTCTTAAGCAGCTGACAGATGTTTTTACTGAGACAGCATGACCTGTTGCTTTATAAAGAACTTATTGCAGCCCCGGGTGCTATGTAAACTGATTAAATCTGGCGTGGTCTTGTCTACCTCTTCTTTCTGACAGACCCCAGTTGCCTTCATGACCCAGCTGAATATTAAGCCAGCCTGAAGGCAAGCACTGACATTTTGCCACAGACCAAAAAAAAGGTGGAAATTTAGTTCAAATTATACCTATGGCCACTTACTGTGAAGTTTCTTCTTGCAAAGGCCACCGGTATGTGTAAGAGAAGGCAGAGCTAGTTTGTTTTACTATGCAGATGTATTTTAGTTATAACTGCTAAGCTTGGTACCATATTTCCTCTTCTCCAACCCTGGTATCATCCCTCTGATACATTCTCTACTGAGATACCTCTCCCACTGACACAAAACTGCTTTTTGGTTTCACTTGCAAGAAAATCCCTTCTCAGATTCTGATGTGAACATCTCCCTGCGTGACTACAATAAGCTCAGTATGAGCTAGCAATGACCTCCATCCTCACCTCTAATCTCATTGCTTTCATTTAATTTCCAAAAATGATCCCTTAGATTGAAATTTTAGACCAAAAGGTGCATTTATTTGAAAAAAAAAAATTGTTTGACTCTTTGATTTTGCAAAAGGGAAGAAATTAACCAAGTACTGTCTGCTGGAACTCATCTTTTGCTCACAGATGCTTTTGCATGGATGTGTGCCTAGTGTGATAGTGGGAATGCACACATTTCCACAAAATGGAAATTCAAACCAGACAAACCAACCTGGAGAGCTTACTGCACTGTTGTGGTGGGGAAAAGTTTCCTGCTCTTCTGGTTGCTTTTACACTAGCAGAGCTGGCCTTCTTTGGGACCAGCATTGCCACCAGGTGAAGGTCACCACCAGCAAATATCAGTATTGCTCCAGAGTTATAAAGGAGACACAGGAACAAAAAGGGACAGTTGCTGTTACTCCACTCCATAGCTAATCAACAGATACCTTGTTCTGTGCTCTGTAGGATTTGCAAATGAATGCCATACAATGGCTTTTATATTCCTTTTTATCCCCTCATTTTAATGTGCCCAATGCCAACAATTGATGAACTGCATAAAAAAACCCTATCTCTTTCCTCGTCTTCTCCTGGACAAGAGCCTGCAGTTCCGCATTAGACACATACATGCTGATTAGGACAGGAGCAGGAGACACGTGTCATCTTTATGTGCAGAAGAGCAACTCAAATGTAATGAATGGATGACAGGATGGCAGAGTGCTTCTGGGTCAGGGCAGAGGCCATCAAGAGTGACATTGTGGGGAATATTGTTACAGAGATCAGGATCAGGAAGCGGATGAAGCCTTCTTTAGGCAACTTAAAGAAGTGTCCAGATGAGGCTCGTGCCACTCACAGAAAGCACATTATAGTTGTGCAGTTGTTCCTAAGGCATTCAGACACAGAATTCGTAACATTTGTGTAAAACCCACAAGGAATTAAAAGGCACTGACTGAAGTGCCATTTCTTCCTTCTTCACCATTACAGAATTCAGTATGTGCTGAGGAACCCAGGACAGCAGAATTTTTTGCTTTCCCCTTGCAGCATGACCTATTCTGATTTTGAGGTCACTGTCTAGAGGGTGCTTCTGAAGGGGAGTCAACAAGGTCACAGGATCCTCCTTCCTGCATTGGCTGGGGGAAGAGACTTCTACTGCAGCTATTTACACTGGTTTTATAGCCCTTAATGCTTCAACTGGCATAAGTACTAAAGAAACACATGTATTAACAGACACACACGCACACATGCTAGATGGATTCAAGGAACATTACAGGCTGAGAAGTGGGTATTCACAGCTCTTCTCCCCTCTGGCCATCACGTCACTTGATAAACACTGTGCTCTGGTGCCTCCCTTCCTCTGCACTGCAGCGAATCCCACTGCAGGTACCTAATGTTTGAGTGGTTTTTAATGGAATACTGCTACATATCTTTCCTGACAGTGGAAATCTTGTGTATTATCTTCTTGCATGCTAATATACAAAGTCTTACACAGAAGTATTGTATGTTACTATTAAGGTTTTGATAATAATCAAGAAATCAAGTCATCCATGTTTCTAAATGCATATTCTGTATTCCTGGTATAATTATCAGGATTTATATGTTACCCATGGATTCATTTAATGATTTTCATGTTTTCCTCTGCTGTTTTAATTACTGCAGCAAGTAAATTTCTGACTACTCTTGGTTTTTACTCACACGAACAGATCGTGTATCTTCTAAGGTATCTACAAGAGCTACATTAGTAGATATTTAGATGCATACAGAGGTAACAATTTCAAAAAATTCTAGTTGGTATTATAATTTTCAAAAACACACAGGATACTCTAAAAAGGCCACCTGTTTCTAGCTACTGTAGCTTTGTACATACTTACACCTAACAGAAGCATCTAGCCAGTTCCTTGGAAATCTGATAGAAGATGAAATTACATTTGCCATAGATATAACAATCTGCGGTATTTAGTGTATACACTGGAAGATAAGTAAAGTATGCCTTTAAGTGGAACAAATAAGCACCCTTTGATAAATTAAGAATCATTTGAGTCTACATAATTATCAGTAAGCAGTATGTGTGAGTAAGGGTCTGGGTTCTGCTTTGGTGTACTCATAATAGTATTGAGCAATTAGGGCACAATAATCCACAACTATTAAAAATGTGTGTATCCCATTCACAACTTAAATTCTAGATGTTTGTGAAATGGCACTTTTCAATGGTAATGCTATTTGCAACAGACCTTAAGTGCTCACAGGCCTTTGTCTTGGATACAGTGATGTCAAAGACACAACTAGTCATTCAGAGATCAATGTTGTTATATGTGCCTTCTGATTTGAAAGTCATTATTGTCTGCTTTCTGAAAAAGCAGATGGTTTTGGGTATGCAACTTTGCAACAGTTTAGATTTATGCCAGTCTGGTGTTCACATCCCTTCTAGGTGTGGACAGATTCAGTGAAGATATCCAACAAATGATGGGCTTCAAGCCAGGTCTCTACTGGAGATTGTGCTGGAAATTTGTTAGCCCTGCTTTTCTACTGGTGAGTGTTGATAATTATTTCATCATGAAAAGAATTTCAGTATGTTGCTTCCTACAATATAGAGTAGGCACCAAGAGCAAGGTACGCATTGCTATACCTGGTGTTGTCAGGGTGAGAAGACGCTCCAATTTAATTCTTTTTCCTCCTCAGTGGTATTGGTTATATTTTATGTAATACATTTCCATTGTGAAAGAGAAGCTAATTGTGGCTGTGGTCATCTTCTGTTCCTTCACTTGAACAGGATTTAAAGAAAGCAGCTTTTCTTAGGGAACACAGAGCACTTTGACAGTGTTCTCCCTGTCCCCACAGCACCTATGCATATTAAACATAAATCATTCTGTTGGGAAAATAAACTAACCAGGGATAAGAGACTGTTAGTGAGAATTTAGTTTTCATTGGATGATAGCAAGATCCCCAAATTGTGGAATGACACCTTAGTTGCTAATATGCAATTACACCCAGTAATTAGCTATGTGAAACACTGAGGAGATGCATTAAATATACCTTGTAAGCAGCTTGAGGTGAAAAACAAGTGCTTCATTACATTTGGGGAAAAAAAATCCCAGAGTATGAATTCCGTTGCTTTGTGTAAAGGTTAGACTCAGAACTAAACTACAGTATTATATTGGTTCCTTTTCCCATGCATATTTGTAAATCAAAAGGTCAGGAGGAATAATATGGAAATTTGACCTCGCTGTGATTTTAGGAGACTATTATTTGCATTAAAGCTGTGCATTCTTAAAGCAGCACTGGTATTCCAAAGATACACTGGGTAGGCTTTTATGACAGCCTTCAGCTCCCCTTGTTGTTTTTTTTTATATAAAAGCTTCTGGTCCCAATTCATCAGTAAGCACCTATCAAGCATGTATTAATTATCCTTTCAAATACTGTTCTCTAAAGAAGCTTGTATGGAACTATATCCTGCAGCACTTCAAACAGGCTGACTCAAACAGAAGGGAAAAATGCTGCCCCAAGGATCATTAGTTTTTGTGCATTAGGAGATTATTGAAAATTTAAATTTTACAAGAAGCAGAGATCTAGCAAGTTAGCTAGAGAAAGGTGAAGTGATTGTCAGTCTAACCTTTGTGTGGCTTAAGATTTCTTGGCGAAATGGGCCCAGTAACTTCCTGCTGAAGCCCATAAACATAAGGGTCAGAATGAATCTGTAGGTAATGCATCTTTCAGCCAGCACAATGCACAGATTCTTTTTTCCATCTGGAAGTGCTAAACTTGGAACATATCAGTTTAATTACTAGGAACCAATATATTTTAAATCCCATGATGACTGGGTAGGGGACATTGGGCAGCTTTGTTACAGCTGTACAGTTTCTCAATTTTCTAAAAGGCAATGTGGACATTACAGTCTTGATTTATAGGGGAAAAGTAAATAGGATGAAGGTAAATGGTAAAGCTGGGTTGAAACATACCTGAGAGTGTCTGCCTAATAAAACACATGAAATAATTTCTTCATCTCAAAACTGTAGTTCATTTTATTCTTTCTTCCCTAGTTTGTCGTGATAGTCAGCATAATAAATTTCAAACCTCTGACCTACGATGACTACACCTTCCCTCTCTGGGCAAATCGAATTGGCTGGGGAATAGCATTGTCTTCAATGATACTTGTGCCTGCCTATATTATCTATAAATTTATGAGCGTGCGTGGGACCTTTAAAGAAGTAAGTGGAATGCTAATAAAATGTCATTAAATGTTGCTATGAAATGAAATGGCTGGATCTAAGACGGCAGTTTGTTTCTCTTACTCCCAAAACTTATGAGTGACCTTTTGGATCCAACCATCAGACAGACTGGAGTTTTGAGGTAGGATTACTACATGCTGTTTGAGTTTCTAGATAAAAATTAGCTTTCCAGAAAGCACTGTAATAATTCTGAAAAAAATATTTTTGGTGCCAGTAATTAATCCAATTGACGAGATTATTTTTTTCCTTATTAACAAAAAAAAAAAATACAAATTATGGTGTCTTCATATTCAGCTCAGAGCTATCATCTTCACACGACTCTACCTAAACAGAGGTCAGTCCAAGGTACGCTTTATCACTGTACACTAGACTGTTGTGAACCATTACATGTACAAAGTTAACTCAGATCCCTCCTATCTTAGCATTGTAAGAGTCTCTAAACACATATCCACATGCTGAGAGGGTGGGATGCGCCCCCAAACCATCCCTGTGTTCAGGTGAGCCTTGTTCATTTAATGAGCATCTGGAAAGGACAGAAGAAATACTTTGCTGGGTCACAGCAATAACTCTATTTAGCCCAGTATTCTCTCTTTAACAGCAGCCACTTTGTATTTAATTTTCTCTGTCAAATCCATATCCATCTCCTCTATTTACTGGAATTATTTGAACATTCTAGAATCTTTGCAGATCTTTCTGTTGTGTTCATCACTAATATCAGAATGCTTGAAGAAACTTAATATTCAAGGTAGACCAAGGTGCTGAAGTAGATCTGGAAATCAAGAAACAATTCTGATATAGGCACCGCTTACAGTCTCATCTAGCCTGCTGCTTTTTAACTACTTCATTAAAAGAATGAGAATACTAGACAGCACCATCTTGCACTACATAAACCCACTTCGTGTATAATATGCCTGATGTGTGCACTGAATAAAGCAGAAACCGAGGGCGAAACAATTTGTTACCATCTTACTCTAATTATTTGCCTAACAGCAAAATAACAGTTTAACATTACAACATTAATAGTGTTCTCTTAACTTTGTTTATGTGTAATATTAATATATTAATTCTATTTAAAAGAACGTGCTTCAATGGGAAAAAACACAGCTATATTTCCTTGACATTCACCCCCCTGTACTTTATTTATCAGTTCAAAATAGCACAGGGTTAAAGTTCACTGATCATATTAATTTTACCATGACTGTCATAGTAAATTATCTATAGTCTTAAAATCTTTAATAGTGCTCAGAAGTATGACTCCTCACGACTATACATCATCCATTTTTGTCCTGTCACATGTCATAATTTTATAACCTCATCTAGACTCTGTTTTATACCTATTTCTATTGGTCTCCTTTCCTCCAGCTAGAGTTACTCAATTGTGTAGAAGACATTGACGCTCTTAGGCAAATCACTGAACACCACCACACAGAGAATTTAGCAAAAAATAGCATCTCAGCCTTCTCCTAGAGAGGGTACATTCCCCTCGAATCAACCTGGCAAGCCCAAAGGGATAAATGCCTTGTTTCTGAAACGTTAACGTCCCCTCACTTAATGTTCAGAATGACCTCAGAAAGTCACCCCAAAGTGGGTGAGAGAAACCTCTTCACCTCCCCTGTTTTCATCAGCTCCATCCAACACCTCAACACTGGGCACAATTTCTAGCTCTCATTTCCAGCAATTTGTTTTGTTCCATTCCTGGAACAAAATACAGACTAGGGGGTGAGGTATTAGAAAGCAGCCCTGAAGAAAGGGACTTTGGGGTGCTGATGGATGAGAAGCTGGACATGAGCAGGCAGTGGGCACTTGCAGCCCAGAAGGCCAATCACATCCTGGGCTGCATCAATAGAAGTGTTGCCAGCAGGTCCAGAGAGGGGATTCTGCCACTTTACTCTGCTCTGGTGAGACCTCACCTGGAGTGTTGTGTGCAGGTCTGGAGCCCTCAGTATAGGAAGGACAGGGACCTGATGGAGCAGATCCAGAGGGCCACAAGGATGATCAGGGGGATGGAGCACCTCTGCTACGAGGACAGGCTGAGGGAGCTGGGGTTGTTCAGCCTGGAGAAGAGGAGGCTCCAGGAAGAACTAATAGCGGCCTTCCAGTACCTGAAGGGGCCTACAGAAAGGCTGGGGAGAGTCTGTTTACAAAGGCCTGCAGTGACAGGACGAGGGGCAACGGCTGTAAGCTGGAGAAGAGCAGATTTAGATTGGATATTAGGAATAAATTCTTTACTATGAGGGTGGTAGAACACTGGAACAGGTTACCAAAGGAGGTGGTTGAGGCCCCATCCCTGGAGATATTCAAGGTGAGGCTCGATGAGGCCTTGGGCAACCTGGTCTAGTTGGTCTGGTTGGGGGTGTCCCTGCTGACTGCGGGGGAGTCGGACTAGATGACCTTGGGAGGTCCCTTCCGGCCTGGACCATTCTATGATTCTATAAAATGCGCCCTTTGTTTTGTTCCACTCCTGGGGAGTTTACAAGCCCATTTTCTAGGAGCACCTACATGTCAAAAAAATAATTTGTACCAGCCCAACAGGCTTTTGCAGTCTTGCACAAGTCTACTCATATCGGGATGCAGAAGCCTTTGGCCAAAACCACATTTGCTCCTTCATTTTGAAGTGTTAGCATGTTCTGGTTTGTCTTTCACAGCCCTGGTAGACAGCAACTCTGCAGTCTCCTTGTAAGACATACAGCGAAAGGCTACTGAATTATATCCAAATAACTATCCTAAGATATGATTCCTAAATTGTGGCTCTTACAGGTATGGGTAAAGGTATACTCAGTCTAATGGGAACTCCTTAAGTTGGTTGGAAGTTCAGGATAAACAAAAATCTATATATGATCCCAAATGGCCCAGCACAGGGTAGACAAAGGAGATGAGCTGGGAAATAGTCAGTACCTCCTTCCTCTCCCACTGGGACAGCACTAACAGAAAAGTGTGATTTTAGGGGATGTAAGGCCTGTGATACCAACTTCTTCCTGATGTTCTTTTCCATATGCATTTGCTAAATATTTGAACTTAGTATTTGCATAAACTCTCTACTGTTGCTTCTTATATTAAAGGCTAATATCAAGGGGCTTATAATAAGCTTGTTCTCTCAATAATTAAGTTAAAGGCACATAATGCAGTGATATTAAAGATTTAAGTTACCATTTTAAATGAAGTTCATGCTACTTCCTCATTACAGATTGGGGATTACAAACATAATCCCACTTCATATGACTGACTTCTTCTTCTTCTTCTTCTTCCCATCTGGTTTAGAGACTAGCTTACTGCATCACACCCGAAAATGAGCACCAACTTGTGGCCCAAGGAAATGTCAGGCAATTTAAGGTTTGTACTCCTTTCACCGTGCTTCCTCTCCTGGTACCAACACTCTCCTGTCTTTAGCAACAGCTACAGGTTTGCATCAGTCTCCTCACAGTGGATACCTTTGCAGGTCTGTGGTTCTGTTTTTCTTTTTGGCAGCATGACAAGATGCAGGAGGCTCACTACCATATACATCAGCTCTGTTGGAAGGCTTTTGACACCTTCCTTCCTTGACTAAGCAGAACCCCCAATATTACAGGTCACTTGAATGACATATTTTAGGCTGGAGATGAAGGTATTTCCCAGCTATCATCTGCATTTGAACAAGTCATAGTCTCTCCCTCAGTTATTGCACAGCAATCTGAAGTCATGCTTCCTAAACTCAAATTATGTACCACAACACGCAGTAAACAGCAGAATAAATAGCCAGTGTCAGGGCTTAGACATAATATCCATGATGAAATAATGTGCTAGGTTATGTGGAATAGGCTTTCCCCACAGGCCTGCAGTTGATTGAAAACACTGCTGGAGACTCCTTAAGCAGCCATGGAAATTATGCTATAGGTTTCCAAATACTGCTTTCCTTTTAGCAAATAAAATGAGCTTATTGAAACAAAGTCCTTTTTGTAGAAGATAAAACGGATGCAAATATGAAGCTTGTTACACTTATCAGCATTCATGCTGGACCACTTTCTGTCTTCAAAGTTGAAAGCAACTAGAATTATGCGCAGCACCTCAAAACATGACCCAGATTTTATAGTGGTGGTCTGTATGTTGGTATTGAAAAAAGAAATCTGCCTTTTGCTTACACGGAGAAATATGGAGAAAAATACTGTTTGAAGTATAATTTTGAATTTTAAAGGAAATAATCCAAGTGTAGATTTATGGGATGCAGGATGAAAGCAGGAAGAAAAGGCTTCCTGTTTTATTACCACAATTTATTTGATGTGGCCAAGAATATGCAGTAGCACAGCACCTCTTCCTGCCTTCTCTTTCCCTCAGTCCTGCCCTCAGTTGTCCAAAGATTTAATGTTCCAGCTGTAAGTAATAACTTGATTTTTCCAGAGGCAGAAGTTCCTCTGTGAATGGGCTATAAACAGCCATTCCTACACAGTACTGGTCTTCTGAACCCAAATCTGTAACGGCGAAAAGGAAGCAAATGAGTTTCATTTAAATTAGAAAAGATTGCGCTCAGAAATAAATTCCTAATGATACATCCAACCATGTTAAATACTAGAGCATATTAATTTCTTGCTGTCTTCAACGAACAGCTAGGAATAGCTTTGTTATCACTAAAGCATAGTTAGTGCTTTGTTCATGATGTTTAAGTTTGTAAAAAGGACACTGAGTACCATAACCAAACAAGTACAACAACTTTCTTTTCATATGTTTGGCAGCTGTGAATTTTGAAACTGAACTAAGAGCTGACTAAATAGCCTTTATATACAGCACACTTCTCACTGCAAACCGAAGCCCCAGAAACTTAGTTTTCACCTGCACGTTGTTTTGAAACCTGTTTGTAACTCCAGATTTGTCAACTAATGTGTTTAAAATATCTGTCACTATCATCACTTGAATCAATAATGTTATTAAACAATTACTTTTGTTCCCTTACAGCTTCAACACTGGCTAACTATATGACAACCAACAGGTTGAGGAAAAAGCCAATAAGTTAAGCTAAACTGGGAATACAGAAAAGTCAAGTTCAAAGCTCCCTCGATTATGCTTGGACCAGGCTGGCTCAGAGCTTATCTACTGACTCTTTGAGGGAAGACATCTGCTCTCTGTTCTCAATGCCTCCCTTCTATTACTTGGCTTCAAACGATCCTTAAAGACTCTATTTAATTTTCCTTATATCTTTTGGTGCCATGAGATCCCTACATGACCAAAACTTGTGAGTTTTGCTATTGGCAGAAGTGGAGGAGGGGGGAGCAGAGGGAAAAAAAGCAATCAACGTAAGTTAAATGCTCTTTTATCATGAAGAAGTGAATGAAACTTTTCTGAGAGTAATAATTACTTCAGATATTTGTGCCACGACCTATTTGAAACCAACAACACCTGAACACTTTTAGATCTAAGGAAAGAATACATCTCGATTATGAGGAAAGAGCAACTTTAACTATGTACTAAAGTCATTAGCTTTCTTGCCATACTATCCTTTGGGATATGAGTTTGCATCCTTCTGAAGTGAAGACTCAGTGCTTCATTTTCAGTGGTTTGTTATTAGTTTCTTCTCTTGGTGAAGAAGGTTGTCTTTGCTACCTGTAGATGTCCATGCCATTTTCTGTCCAATTTAATTATAAAAGCTGAAGAGCAGCAGGAACAGAATTCCTGTTACAGCTAAGTACAGAATACAGTCTACTACCACTGTACTTCATTAAAAATATATTCCCTTATATCAGCAACTAAAGTGGCTTTCTCATACGATCCATACTCCACAGACTTTTTCAGCTAAGTATGAAAGTTAGATGCACATAGACAGACTTTCATCTTTTTGATAGATTTTGTTCCAAATAAAGAATGTAAGACACATAGGAAGAATGATTCTTCGAATTACATAATCTAGCTAGAGGCACCAAAATACCACACTTTGGCTTTATTCTCCTGCTGTGAACATGCTTTTATGATAATCTAACCTGGATTCACCTACCAAACCATAGTAAGATTGCATTGAATAGTTTAGAAGGCTATTTTAGGCATACTCAGCTCTCTAAGCCTATTCCAGCTCTTCTCTCTGGTAGCATTATGCAAAGTAGAAGATACAGAACAAACTCTGCATTTGGGTGCTGTTCTTATTCTGTGGTCACTTATCACTGTAGTATCTTCCCAGTGATCACTAGATTTGGTAGCTTTGAGTTATTTCTTGTAGTTATTTATCACTAAATCTAGAGTAATTTTCAGAGGCTTCTCAGCCAAATCCAGCCCAGAGTTTACCTCTAGACCTTACCTCTGATTTATTTTTTTTTTGCCTTTATACGCTCAATTCAGCTTTTCTTTTAAATTTGTGTAGTGCTGCCTCTTTTTAAAAAGACCATTTAAAAGGATGGGGCTTTTTTATTTATAATACAGGGTTTTTTTAGGGTTTTCTTTCCTTTTTATAAATAGCCGAATTTAAAAGTCCTAACTGATTTTATCCTTTTCCATTTAACATTGATTTCTGTTCAAAATAATGGAAGGGAAATTTCTCTCCTTATTTATCCTCTTCATCCAACATAATCAATACTTCGGAATGTATCAGTTATTGTCCTTTTCTTAAAGAATCTCTGTGACAAATAGCAGTTTTATTTAAACAGGGTTTTAAACCAAAAGGATACTTTCTTCTCATGATAAAGGAAGTCATATTTTCTGGCCCAGCTGATGGCCAATAGCTGTTTAAACCCTTTTATTAAATATATTTCAATAATAAAGGAGTTTCAAATGTTGCAGCTCTAGTTCTATAATTACAGAAGAGGCCAAACAGTGAAAATATAGAAAAGCCATCCCACAAACTTCATAGTTAATCCTGTTTTTGTTGTTTGCTAAACTACATTAGAATCTTTTCATTGCTGTAAATTTTACTTTTCTATAATACAGCTGCTTCAGTCACTGGCTTGGCATGGCTCAAAAGCTTCTTAGCATATCTTAGCACAGATATAATTATCAAGTTTTGAAACTCTTGGGGGCTTTAACAGCTCGTCACATTACACATTATTTGGTTTGCTCATGATTGGAAACGCTAAGAACCTGCATCAATGTGCACTTGTGACACAGCTCCTCACCAGGAAAAGTTGCAGTTCATCACCACTCTGCACTGAAATAGCAGCAAAGTTATCTTAACATGGGACTGAAATCAGCTTTACCCAGCGTGTTAGGGTTTGATTGTACTTCTAATACCAACTCCCAAGGCAATTACCTACTACATTATTTTTATTAGTGTATAATTTCTTAGGTTCAGCATAGTATTTATAGCTCAGGACTCCATTGCACTGTTGCCATCTTGTTCTGAGGTTTTACAGACTTGCAACCTATACAGAAGAAATAGGCAAATCAGAGAAAGCGGGAATCTTATTACCAAGAATAGCCCAGGTGAGAAAGAAAGATAATACACATTGCATGCCTGCTCAGCTAGGCTTTAAGTTCAAGATGTTGCCCAAAGGAAGTCTCCCCAAAAGTAATACAACTTCTGTCCCAGAGATGAAGAACAATGTCTTCAATTCTTCACGCAGAATAAGATGATCAACTACCTCACGCCTCTTGGACAATAAATGATGCCCTTAGAAACAAACTAGCATCCGTTCAAATGGCAAACACCTTTGCAAAGACCAGGTTACGTTCTTTTCCTCGTTCCAGTGATATGGTACAGACATTTCAATAAGAAGCCACAGCTCTGGCACCCAGCCCTTCTTAGGCACCTGCTTTGAGCTAATAGATTTTCAATATGGAAAATATCAAATGCTACCAAGATACTCACGCCCCTTCAGTTCAACCTTCAGTACTTTAAAAATTAAAAAAAAATCAGTCACACAGTCAGGTCCTTATCACCCATCTGGTCTAACTAAGTCTTCCTCTAACTCAGTCTTGAATTTTCAGCCAAGCAGCTCCCTCTTTCCCTCAGCTACACCTATTGTGGGAACAGAACAGCTCTGGGGGCTGGTGCTCTCCCAGATATCCCTGTGGGATGGCAAGGACATGCTGAGGGAGTAGGCAGCCCACTTCCAAAAGATGAACATTTTTGATACAAGCGCATTCAAGGTGCAGTATCATCTGCTTGCTAATTATGTTGGATTTTTGGTAACAAGCCAGTGGGAAGAATTGAGTGAAGCAATTAAATAGCTCATTTGACAGTTCCAGAAAATATTTTCTTGAAAGCCTTTTCTTTTTTTATTTGATAAAGGAAGCAGCTGTCATACATTAACATGTCTCTTCCGACCTTCCTTCCTGTCAGTGAAAAAGACCCACCTGTGATCCATATTGCTCCATCAATTCACAGAAAGTTAGTTCACACCGAGAAAAGAGATCTTCCCTTTTTTTTGTACTCCTGCTGTCATTCAGCAGAATAATTCTTCACGTACTTGGTACTGCTCTATAAAACTCCAGAGGTGTAGATTTCGGGTAGAGAGACAGTCAGTCTTTCATAGGCAACAGTCCAAAAAGCACTAGTGCTGTTTAGTGTTTGGCCCCTGTTTGAACCATATCTTTTTTGTGAGTCCTCCTTGTGTTCTGTCGTGTCCCTAGGCATACACCTTGGCACCACTTGAAAGGCCTCTTACCATAGTGAGGGATCTTGCAGGAAACCCGGGTCAAACATGATATTCTAAATATAGAATCTAAGAGAAATTCTTGGTAGTTACCATTGTACATGTTCCCTGACTGCACGTGCAATGTATGTTGTATGTAATTTTCCCAGAGGAAATGCCATATAATTGGTCGTTTCTTCTCAGCAAAATCCATTTAAATGCTATTATTTAAAAAGGTCAAGCCCAAACATTTTGTATATACATCCACTTCTTACACTATTGTTTTGACATGAATTAAGTTTATTTTGTACGGTTAGGTTATAGGAGGCCACACAGAAAGTTCTTTTGCTTTTAATGTCTCATTTGCAGTTCTTCCAGTTCATACAGCACTAATTAGCAGATACTTGCTTTTATGGGAGTAGATAGCTTTCCTTCATAACCTGGACCAATTCATTAAGTTTCATGAGGCATTAGCAAACATTTAAGAATTTCTTTCCTAACAACCAAATTTAAACCCAAGATCAGCAATTTCAAGAGAGATGAGACTTAGAAATGTTTTACTTGCAGTGTAACATTTTAAACTGTGCCTGAAGGACTCAGATAAAAGTTATCACAGCTCAACAAATGGCAGCATATGATGTACCTGCAGAAATTATGTGGGCACTCTGACCCTCTCAGAGCAGTAAAATTGGATATGTTTATTCTAATACAGTTTATTTTCTCAGGGCTAAGAATATTTATGGTTCATCAAGCAGCTCATGTGCAAGAACTCCACCTCCTTAAAGGCCAACGTGATGTTTTAGATTAGACCCTTGAATAAGTTTGGAGCCTTGGCAGTACAGGGAGATAGATCTTCTGGAAACACCTCCAGAAAGTCTCCTCTGAAGGAAAGCACTCTTTCAAAAGTCTTCCTTCTTCTGACTCGTAGCAGTGTTCCTGTTGGCAACTGTGGGCTGATCTAGCTAATCAGTGGAAAGTTGAGTTGTAAGAACATGAAGGTAAACAGTTTATTAGAAAGTCAGAAACAGAACCTTCAAATTCCATGATGACTTTACTTGATTCATCTCAATATACAAGCTGAGTGTAGAATATGGACTATTTTAAGCAAAGCTGGCCAGAGATCACCGTACAGGACTGAATCTGTGAGCTGCTTGGATACCTGAGTTATTACAGGTCTTCATTTAGTGAACTAACGTGTGCTGGTACATGAGAAAGCCAGTCACATTCCAGCTTAATGGTGCATTAGTACAGGATACTGCAAAACAGTCTGAAAAACATTTTCGAGCTTAATTCACAGAGGGTAATCCTTCAGTTAAGCCCTGTTAGGCCTGTGACCTCATATCACTGAGTTTCAGAGAGGATCATATAGAAGGAATAGTTGTATCTCAAACATCCATGTTTGAGTGTTTCTGACTTGTTCAACCATTTCAGTCTGTTGTAACTCAGACTTCAACTGGAACATTTCGCCAAGCACTTGCTCCCCTCTAATCCATATTCTCAAAGAGGAGTTTCTGTTGACAGTCGGCCAAGACCACTCAGACTGACCAACAAGGCGTGCACGTGTCCCTTAGCTGTGATTAGATGAGCAATTACTCGGTTTTGCCTGCTTAAGCTTAGCTAGGGAATGACAAGACTTCAAAGCCATGCCATGCACAGAGAAACTTTTACTAGGCTGAAAAAATTCATATTTTTTCACAGTGTTCCTAATAAAAATTAAATCAACGTAAGACCAAGATCCTCAGCTGATGACTAATTGTACAGTGGTGCTGCTCCCTGCTCGAGACTGAATTTAGAAGCATTCTCTATTATAGAGAACTAGATGGCCAATAAAGACATTTCAACCAGCAGAAAAACAGAACAGTACAATATAGCTGCTTTTAAGGACAGAATTTTATCAGTGTTCCTTCACCCTTTAAAAACGGAATATGTTTAGACAAATTGCAATCACTGTATGACCAACCTAGCAGGAACCCGCAGAGAAAGAAAGCCAGAAGACTCTAAGTAACACAGATATCATAATTGTATTCAGTGAAAATCTTCCTTAGAAGAACACATAGGTGTCTAGGTGCAAGTGGTTGGGATGGAGCCAAGAAGAGGAGAAACTGAGGGGCTTAAGTCCAGCAGCCTTCACGCGTGTTAACCCTTACTGCCCTTAGTTCTCACGTGGAGAACAGTGGGCCTTTTTTACCTAAGCACTGAGAGCAAGGCTGGGCCACCTGTGTGCTTCGCTTTCCTCCTTTCCTTTAGCCACCATATGAAACAAAAGTTGCTTAATTTCTTTAGTAAGGGAACAGGATAAATTCACTGAACTAAGAAAATTACTAAGCCTTAAGCTGGCTCTGTTTTAAAGGTGTCACGTTGTTCCTTGGTCACTGCCAAGAGGCCTCAAACTTGCAGGTGACCTGCGTCTGTAATTTTTGTTGTACACTCTGTGAATCTATCTGCAAGCTTTTGTTTGCTATGGGTCATATCAGTTGCAAAGGGAGAATCTCCAAATAGTACCTTTTGAAAACAACTTCTAATAGGTCTGGTGAAGATTTGCCTTACAAATAAAAGCTTTATAGTGAGCATTTACTTGGTTTACACCAGTGTTTTACTTAATTTTTAATGCCTTTTTATAGCAGTGACTAGACTTTACCTTAGATAAGGGTACCTCTGTATAGGAAATATTTTAATACTTTTAACAGTTTTTTTAATTTTCATAGAATATAAGTGTATATTGTAAGGCGAGAAATTCAACTTTGATGTAACAAGGTTATCACACAAGACCTATTTCTCCATTATAAGATTTTGTAGTCAGCCAGTCTAGTTCAATAATATGTTGGCCTTTGATGATAAATGTAAAAATGTGATAAAGGAGAATAGAACATTATCTACAGCTAATGCACATTGTAGCACAATATTCTCCATTGCTGCCTTAATCTCATAAAACGAAGTCATGTGTTTTTAATTTATATTCTAAAAACACCAAAAAATCTAGAGCATCCTTTGGCTGCAATTTTGTGTTGTTATATGACTTAACATTAAACCAAATGTGTTAGTGTCCAGTAGGTCTACTTCAAAAGCAAGAGATCACATTGCAGTTTTCAGGAATAGGTTTTCATAGGAGTTCAAAACTTGCCACTGATAAAAATACTCTCCAAAGTGCCCCAGTGACCAAAAGTGTCCAACAGCCACCACATTTCCATGCCTGGTTCCATTAATTGTGCAATCTGCAGGTCCATTTGCCTTTTTTTCTGTAAGTCTTTGGTTATCTGGGGGAAATGGCATTTCAATGATTTTTTTTTTTTTTTTGAAAGGGAGACACCTACATGCCCATGTGTGTAACTAGAAACAACTACATTTCTTATAAATATGGATATGGATGTGTGTGATGTGTGCTGGTTAACTATACTTAAAATGCTGATAAAGATGGTGAATGTAAAGTATTTGTCCTCATTCCTCTGTCTTTCTGTGATCAGTGTAAATAAGATCTGTTTTAAGCTGTGCATTAATGTAACAGATTATTCCAATATTGTGTATAAGATTATTTAAATAAAAATCTGACAAATATGCACATAAAAAGAGTATAAAGAAAAGTCTTATGTACCAAGAATTTACTTATGACAGTCAATTAAAAGCTGAAATGAAAGTTCTGCTTGTTGTGGATACTATTTGCAGCTAAAGCTTCACAGTGACAGCCAGCCCCTGGTTCTGCGGTGGCCTCCCCAGCGGTGGCACATGTGCCTCCCAGGGACAGGTGTCTCTGGAGCAGGACTGACGGACACCCATGTGGAAAGGGCCTCTAGAAGCCAGTCTTGAGCCCACCCTAAAGACTACCAGACAACCGAAAATATAGCCCCAAAGCAGGAGCACCCACCCTATGTAGCTCTCAACCTTCCTGAGTTAGTTCACATCCTCTTGGTGTCCAGGGGGTGCAGTGAACAGATTCATTTCTCCATCTGAACTCCTGTCAGGGGATAGGAGTAACGCAACGAAGCTTTCACAACCACACGTTGAAAGGAAATAACCAAGACCACCTAGGAACATGAACCAAAATGCATAGCACAAAAGCTGTAATTCCCCAGGGCTACATTGTTTTGCTTTTTTTACAAGCAATTCTTTTTGTCTCATTAACTTTGCCATAAGTAGCAATAGCCGTAAGAGCATTATTCTTAATTTATGGATCAGCCAGGAAAGGGCTACTCGTATGTGATATGAAGGAAGAGTAGATAGAATAGACTGTTATTTTTTTTTACTAAAACTTAAACCATTTTCTTATATTTCCACAAGAAACATCACAAAAATATGAGAAGCACAATTTCCGAAGCACATTTTGTTGGGCAATCTCAATTATCTCCATGTAAATTTCATATTTGGCACATACAGAGACTAATCTATTCCCTCAGTGCTGTTTTTTTTCCAAACAGATCTCAATTATTAAGGTACAGCCTTCAATTTTTCCTCCACGGTCCTCCACGGTCTTCAAGCAAGTAAGAAAAACATAGTTTAAATTATTTTCTACTACATCTGAAAAAACAAATAATGAAATTTTCCTATGTCAGGTTTCAGTAACATAGAACACTTAAAACCACAAATTAGTATTAAAAGAATTAAAAGTTAATTAATTTCAAAATACTCTAAGGATTTCACAGAAGTTTCTTTTAATCTATTTTGCTGTTTAACGAAAGCCTGTTTACAAAATTTTCATTTTTCCCTAGTCGTCGTTCTCCCATTCACTATTTTCACCGAGCTTCAGTGAACTGAGAAGTCTTTTAGACTCAGCATTAGCACAGCACTGTGAAAGTAACATTAGGCAGGGCTTACTTAAACTCATGGAGGAATTTTGTCCTGGAAGTATTATATTAACCAAGTTTCCTGTCTGCTTTTGAATAACTACATCATCTCTTCTGATACTCCCCTAATCTACTCTAAAAGCAGAAACTTAATTTACATCCTTTTTCAACACCCAAAAGAGAAGAGGCAGATTCAGTACCGATGCTTCTAGCAGTAAAGACAACAGCATACCCGAGTCTTCATTGTCTCAGATTCTCGCAAGTAAACTTGACATTTCAATTTGTCTTCTTACCTAAGTTAATGTTTATAGCCTAAATTAATTTAAAATGTAGAACCACAACAAAAATTATCTTTGAAAAGAAAATTGAAGGCTGGGAAAAAGTCAGAATACATCTGCTCCTGTTTTCATTATAACACAAATCAATAATGCTGCCAAAAACTTAGGAGGTTATGCTCTTGTAAATGCAAAGAGAATGAAAAGAGAAAAACAGATGTGATATGTTTAAAAGTAGTAATTACGAGTAACTGTTTTCTAAAAGTTAAAAAGAAAACTAGTTTAGCCATTTTTTTAAAAACTAAAAATATACTGATATAATTGAGAACCAGAAATGCTCGTGTAATCCACCAATGCGTAACTCCAGCAATAAATCAAAAGTAATTCCTAGAGAACAGAAAAGTGCTTTGCTTCCTCCACTGCAAAACCAGGGATAATACTGCATATCTCCACAAAGTTTTGCAGCGTCTTGGACAGACCAGAGCAATGGCACACAAGACCCAAATATTACTTCACTCTTACAGTTACTAAAACTTACTAAAGCACCAACCCCCCTCCCCCGGCATGTTGTACCCTCCTATAAGTTCTCCTGTATTTTGGATGGAAATTTGCCTTCACTTTCTTTCCTTTTTGCATTGAAACGTATTATTTTCAGTTAAGGTCTTTAAATCATTCAAGTGGCAAAAGCACTTTGCCTTTGAAAGGGTCTGCATTTTACATGGCTCTGAAAGTAACTTCAACAACGTTTTCTGCCGAAACTATCTGCTGGTGCCTGCTTCCTCCTCTCCAATCCAGCCACACACCTGCTCCTCTTACTCCTACTTTCTTCAGTGCTATTTTGAAAGTCACCTATATGTTTTGTGGGGGTTTTAGTACCCTCCTGAAAGCAACCAGGTAGCCTCTTTCTCCCTTTATCTTCCTAACATCCTCATAAGAGCATGCTATTAGTGCTTACAGAAGTCCCAGGCAGACAAAGGTCCAGATCCACAGGAGATGCCTTGGCAATCTCAGAAGCCCACCATCTCCTCCCAGAGACCTTCCTCTCGGAGAAGGTTTCCCCACACACAATATACGGGAACTTACTGCCGAACTCAGCACTCCGCATCCCAGTCTGAGAGTCAAGACATGAAGAAATACACCTTGGGATGCCAAGGCCCCTCATGGGTCCTGCCCTCAAACTTGACCAAAGTTGCAAAAGAGATAATTTCTCTCACAAGGCCAGTGAGAAACTTGCAAAATCACTGTGTCACACAGACTAGGAGAAGAATGGCCAGTCACAGCCCTTCAGCTACCATACCACTGCAGCTGTCAAGTTATATTCAATTGTTTCTCAATATGCTTCTGGGTGCAAGTCAAGAGACAGGCAAAATTGGCTCAGGTATCCACCTCTGTATTTAAAGAGCTGTGAACGTAAAACATGAAATTGAAATTAGAGAGTCACATTTAGAGGGACTACTACAGTTTTCTTCTTACCTCAGTTTGATCTTTCCCTATCCTATCACAATTTGTTGTCTAACCATTTCCCATAACATCATCTTTATACTCTTGCCATAAGATTAATAATTCTTTGGCGTGGCAGAACTGGTCAGTTCCTATGTTCCTTCAGAATACAGGAATAACAGCATACAATAAGCTTACAGGCCCAGACAGCACATACCTTCAAATATTGAGTATTTTCCACTGAATTATTCTAGATAATAGATTATGTTTAACATTAGCATTCTGAAGCACAGTTCTCTCAAATGTCATAGCAATAGGACAAGGAATCAATCTTCTGGTCTTATAAGAAGCTCATTAGGTTTAAGTCTCCACCTCAGCCAGCACTGGAAATCTGGAGCCAGCATGGACCCATTAAAAGGAGCAGTATCATTTACATAAGCATACACAAATGAGTTGCTGAAGGGAAGGGCCATCATCATATCTTCCTCTTGCACATTCAAAATAAATTGACACATTGTAGAGCTGCATAAAGTTGATATCTACCCCAAAAACTCCGTTCTGCCAAATCCAAGCATAATCTGCATGGCCGCTTTCATTTCAGATTGGCAAACATCAGCTGTGGGCAGATGTACAAACAGAATGTGATGAGATGCGACAGAAACATCCACAGCTGGTGCCGTGACTAAATAAATTATCGTGCTAGATTATTTTCAGAATTACTTTTTGCAGGATAATCGTGCTACAGAAGTCATTTTGTTCTGACTTAAGCACTAAGTTTTAAATATCTTCAAACTACAGAGAAAGTCTCATATCCAGGCATTACCATTCGAAAGGCTTGAAATACATAAGAGAAGCTGAAGTTTAAAAATATGGAAGTGGTCCATCCCAGAGGGACAGAACTGTGTATTTATACCGCCAAACACAAAGCAGAAAACACAGAAGATGAAAGTTAAAACCAAATACTTCCATAGGAAAACAAACACTTTTCAAAACTAAAAAATAAATATATAATAAACAGAATTTTTAGCTTGATTGCCTTGCATCACAAGCAGAGGTAAGAGAACAAAGCAGAAAAGAACAAAACCAAAATATTCAGCATTTAAGATTTAAAAGGGTTTTCCTATTGTTTAGTCAGATTAAAAATAAATGAGAGCCAAAAATAATCCAGGTTTGAAGTCTACCCATCAAACAAATTTTGATCAGCCTGTAGGTGCCAACCACTTTGAAAATCGCTGTTTCAGCTTTCACAAGGCTGAAGACATATGCTGCTCTGCCCTCTCCTCTTTTGTGGGAGTGAAATACTTGGAAAGCAGAGGAAAAAATTATTGGCCAGAGGAAGATACATAAATTATATACACCTTTTGTCTTCAAGAATTCCTGCTTTTTTTTTGTGGTTTTTTTTTCCCCCAAAATCAATGATGTTTGAAATTCTTTGCAGATACACTGTCCTTTTTCTTGGGTTTTTGTTGTTATGGAAGAAAACTATTCCAATAGCTATACTTGGAATGCTTAATAAAGCAGCAATTCCTTCAGTGTATTTGAAGTTAGATGATCTTTCTGGATACACAACTGCATTTCCCATTAGAGGACAGAAATCTCAGTACTTCAGATTTCAATCATCTACCTGCCAGATTTTCTAGAGGAACAAGTGGAATCTATTTTTCACAACTCTTTTTTTTCCCAATATAGAGAATTAGTTAAACGCTAACCATAGATACCAAAACAGCTGGCAAACATTTTTTTTCCCTATAAACTGACTTCTGTGAGAACTTCATTTCCTATCTAACTACAGCACAGAAGAATTTTTATTCACGTAGCCATCACTGTCCTGCTTTGGGTCCATTGTCAGAAAGCGAAACCCCAAGGCACCAAACAAGCATGCCATGCTGCAGGAACATCCCCTGTTGTGTTTCCATCTGGTGACCGTGTCAGCTCCAAGGGTTTGCTTGATTCATTCTAAAATGTTTTTCTACTGGTCTGATGCAGTGATCTTAAAACGGAACATATAAACAGAATAATTTATTTTTTCCTCCTACACAGAGTTACCCTAAAGAAAAGTGACCTGCTTCTCTGTTGCTCAGATCACAGTCAGATGGGGTCTGTGACTTCTTGTGAGGACCTGGTCTCCTCACACCAGCACA